TAGCTATCGCGTATTTTTCTTATTTGTATGAGGTAGATGAGAAATAACATATATTCGTATTCATATGAAATTTGGCAACTAGGCAGCTCAGTTTTAAAGTGAATGGCCCATTTGAAATCGCTCCTAGCATATCTTTCCTATTAAACATGTTTCTAATTGACTAATAGATTAATTTTCATATTAGTGGATGGTGTATCGCGTTGAACCTAATGAAACGCCAAAATGTATATTACCCCAGCAACCTAGCGTTCTAAGTTGATTAGTTTATTATTAATGGCGATGCTTATTAATTGAGCTATGCTTTACACATCTCGGAATGTGTCTCCCCAACATTCGTTCATCGTTCTTCGATCATCCTATCCGTCCACCCCTCACCATTCTTCTTATACATTTGTCGGTTTTGTAATGTCGCAATGCAGACAATGTATACATACTTGCATATTTAATAGATTCATGGCATAAGCATCCTGGAATAGAAGGAACAAGATAAATCGCACATGACTGTAAACATCGCATATGACTATTCCAATACGTTACTGCTTCTTCTGCATTTATTAAATTGTTTGGTTGTCTTACTTTTTCAGTGAAAGCAAATCATAGTTATTCGCATCGTTCTACTGTAAAACCTGAAATTTCTTTATCATATAATATGAGATATAAAGATCTAAAGCCTGGCGTCTATATACGAATATCACAGGATATAACTGGCAACGTATCGGCTCAGTATAGTAGGAGTAACCGGTTCTACATAGATCTCCAAACATCACGCACTATGACTAGAGAGAGGCTCCATAAGAGTATTAATAGTATAATAAATATATTAATAGTATTAATAGTATAGAGTATTAATAATATATCAAATTTCTACCACAACCATGTAAGATATAACATTATTCAGGAGTAGGATTATAACTTGTTGTCAGCTTACTACAGGTGTGTGCCTATTGTAATTCAGAACGCGCAAACATTTAGGCGGCCGTAGGCCTACTCCCTAATTTGAAAGTGCAAGGTCGGAAACATCTTTACAGACAAAAATTATACTATGACAACAAGCCTGGCGTCTATATACGAATATCACAGGATATAACTAGCTACGTATCGGCTCAGTATACTGGGAATAACCGGTTCTATATAGATCTCCAAACATCACGCACTATGACTAGAGAGAGGCTCACGATTATGCTTATAACCAAGAGCGCATTGACACATGACCATTGGTGATGGATCGGATTTGATTACAAAGACAAACTAATCATCGGTTATTTTTCCTATTTTAATCGTCACATGAACTCGTAATCGAAAGGCTGCAATTTATCGGTAATAAAATCTGTACATGTACCCGTACTCCCGTCAAACAATCATTGACAGATCATATCTCACGATTCACTTTGCTTTGGAACTCTTTTTAGATTATTCTTGATGGCCGATTTGTAAATTTTACACAAAAGTTGTTGTTTTTTCTCAAGAAAATTATAGCTATTTATTTCCTAACTGTTATTTCCTAGGATTTTGTATATTGGAACTGTCGCTATCGATTCACGCTGAGATAGTATATCTTCAGGATACAAGTTGGATACTTTCCAGAAAGAACTTGAAGCACCATGGATCACAACGGCACCTTAGACGTTAGCGGCGACCCCGTCCCGTCCCGTCCGCAAAATTTTTTTTCCCACTTGAGTTCCGGACCACAGCCAATCAGCGCACTCCATTCACTCGACTTTCTCGATGCAACCTGAATGCACTGATCAATGTAAAATGAATACCTCCTATCCCTAACCGAACCCTAACCTTAACACGTAACCGAACCCTAACACTAACAATAATCCAACCCTATATATAAGAACCATTTATTACAAAACACTATCTATGGTGGGTCCGGAACTCAAGTGGGAAAAAAAATTTCGCGTCCCGTCCAACCCCCCCCCCCCCGCTGTATGGTATAATGTGTCTAACTTGTATCCTGAAGAAATCACTACGAAATAAATAACTGTAATTTTCTTGAGAAAATGCAGATAAAAGGCAGAAGTAAGACGTAAGCATGTTAGAAGTAAAAGCACACGGATACCCATGCAGATAGAGAAAATTATGAATATAGAAAAATAGAATGAGTGTCCATTTTTTTATTTTGCCAGTTTTCGAGAGCATATGTTTCTTTTTCGGGCTTCGCAACGTTGTTATTGTTATATAGCTCGGAATAAGCCAAATAAATTGTGGTCACAAAGTATGGAAAAGCCGACGTTTGTTGCTCTTAATTTATTTGCTGTCAGGGTAATTTGAAACTTGTTTACATAGTTTTAACCTGTGCACTACTTGATTGTCGTACCCGCGAGAACGAGAGATGCCCCTTCATTATCGATCACGTTTGTGCAATTACTTACATTGAAGTACAAATTGAACATATCCTTTCTTATTTACCACCGTTGAGTCATGATTCGTAGGATTTCGTACATTGGAACTGTCGCTATCGGTTCACGCTGAGATAGTATATCTTCAGGATACAAGTTGGATACTTTCCAGAGAGAACTTGAAGCACCTTGGATCACAACGGCACCTTAGACGTTATAGGCGACCCCGTCCCGTCCAACCCCCCACGCTATAGGGAATAATGTGTCTAACTTGTATCCTGAAGAAATCACTACGAAATAAATAACTGCAATTTTCTTGAGAAAATACAGATAAAAGGCAGAAGTAAGACGTAAGCATGTTAGAAGTAAAAGCACACGGACACCCATGCAGATAGAGAAAATTATGAATATAGAAAAATAGAATGAGTGTCAATTTTTTTATGATGCCAGTTTTCGAGCGCATATGTCTCTTTCTCGGTACGTGTACGTGCACACGCACGCACGCACGCACGCACTCACGCACGCACGCACGCGCGCACGTGTACGAGCACACGCACACATGCACGCACGTGTACGCACGCACGTATACGTGCACACGCACACACGCACGCACACACGCACGCACGCATGCACGCACGTTTACATACACACGCACACACGCATGCATGCACGCAGCTGCACGTGCACACGCACGCACGTCTACGTGCACATGCATGCACGCACGCACGTGTACCTGTGCGGCTGTACACACAGTCGCACATACGCACCAACGCACTCATGCACACACGTGTACTTGCACACGCACGCACGCACACACACACGTATGCACGCACGTGTACGTGCACACGCACGCACGCAGCACGCACGTGTACGTGCACTACATAAACAGCGCTTTCTATCAGAACATATGTGGTCATTCATCTGTAAATGTCAATTAAGCAGCATGCTTCGCTTCTGCCAACCACAACACATAACAAATACGCGTGACCTGATCTATGACGTCACGTGAAACATCGATATAGTACACAGATGTTGCTATCTATGGTCTTTGGCAATGCAAAATTGTATGGTATTGCAAAATTGCGCGTTCATTATTGTAGTATAGTGGCGCCATCCATTGCTGGGTACAATATATCTAGCATATTACAGAAATACCCAGCGTATCGGCTGTTTTGATCGGGTTATTTTCTAACACACGTTATATGAGGTTGCTTTGTATATAAGTTAGAATGTTCTGTATAATAACCTACGCACGTTTGCTTGCGCGAACAAATGTGATTTTAATGCTTATGGGGACACATTCGAGTGTAAGCAAGTTGTACCTCCATGGACTGCCTCTAGTGGTTCCAACAGAAAATAAATGTTTGAATATTTTGAAGTATATATAACGAGGATTTTCAAGAGAAAATGTAAACTTTTACTTGTTTGTAGTTTTAAAACTTTTCTCATGAATATGATAAAATTAAATTAACGACAAGTTGACAATTTTTTCACATGGATTGTAAAACACAGGCACACACACGCACACGCACACGCACACGCACACGCACACGCACACGCACACACACACACACACACGCATGCACGCAAACACTATAGAGTGCGTTTCACCACCACGCCTATGCGCTTCTTTTGCTTGGGCGTTTAGTTGCATACATGCTATATACGTGTCCTGGCGATGTGTGCATGCTTATTTCTAATTGCAAAGCTAATCAAATTTCTACAACAATTGAACGCTGATTATAAGTTTTTATTTTAGGCTGTCACACATTATTTTCCTCTTGGCAAGTGCACACGACCGTCTTTTATCGATCAGTCTTCGTGATCTCAGTCCATGGCCCCATATTGTTGTTAGATTTGCAAACCTACTAACGATTACCCGGCTGAGCTTATTGCTGGTGACTGTAGCACGCAATAAGTAATATTTCACCAAATGCGCCTGATCGTAAAAGCATATAAATAATTACGTGCCTGTGACTGTGCGCGCGCGCGTGTGTGCGTGCGTGCGTACCTGCGTGTGCGTGTGTGTAAGGATGCATGTGTGCGTGCATGTACGTGTCTTAATGTGTGTACGTGCGAGCATGTAAGCGTGTACACACACTGTTTATTTACGTGCGACCGACTATTGCAAGAGTGACGACAGTTCCACGAAGAACCTTCCCAAGCCGATCTGCACAATCTCAATAGACATCTAACAACGAAACAAAGTACGTGTACACGGATGGTGAACGAAAACAATCGGCAAAACAATGCCCTGTGGGGCGCAATGCTCGTATAGTGTTCGTGTGTATCCAATTATAGTACGGGCAAACAATAGCAGCCGATGAAACACCGTTGCCCCCACAGACATATCCGCTCCCGTTATAGCTATCTCATTCGCAGCTTTATCAGGCCATCATGTGTGCTGTATTCGCTAGCAAGCGGAATAGCCGCAACACCTTGATCGGACGCTGTTTCTCTAATGAATATGCAACTGAACGCGCTAACAATCGCTCGCCCGACATCCGTCACCGAGGAGGCCCCCTAGAGAACTAAGAGTTACGTCAGAGGGATTTACTTCACGTATAGGCTTTTATCACAAGGTCGGCGTGTGAAATACGTCTAATAAGAGAAATCCTGGTCGCCATATCGCCTTTCCGATGCTATATAAGCCTCTACTAGCGTAGCTGCGAAGCATTTCATCGCCCAGCGCTGTTGCTGACCGGATAAGTTACCATCTTCAGTCGACTGAGCTATTACCATAACCATGACGAACATTCAACGCTCTCTGACAGCAGCTACCGTAGCTTTCATTGGTAAGTTTACTTTTAAATTCATGCAGTATTTATAGACGATCTTGCTTAACCACGTGGGCTCAACCTAGTTTATGTGATAAAATATAACACTTCGAAGTGTGACTCCTTACGTCGGCGCTTGCGCATTTTATTGTAGAAATTTATATTATTGCCATCTCTCTCTTTCGCACACCCAGTATGATGCAGTTTTTCAATATCCATGTGAATGAGAGCAAATCCAAAGAAGATATTGATACTTTCTAAAAATATCTCAGCTGTATATATAACTTGTCGGTTATCTGAGCAATGAAATCGAATTTGAATAAAACTTCATACTGCTTTCTCAAATGGTAATGTACGCCTTTCGCCTACGTGTGCGCGAGCAGAGCGAGTGAAAAGCTGACTACTTGCCAATGAATAGAAACGAGACCAATTCTTAGTTACATGAGCGCTATCATATGATAAGATGACGGTCGGGCGTATTTTCGCAGCTATGCTTCACGCTACACGTGCGTCGTTCGACCTTGGTTGGACGACGAAGGACACCGAGAGCTATGCTATATTTCCGGCTGCAATTCCGGAACTCAGCGAATTGTCCGTCTGCTTTTGGATGCGCACCACGGACTGGGACAGTGAGCTAGTCGTGCTGTCATACGCCACCCCAGACAACGACAATGAAATAGTCATATACCTACCTGGGGAAGACAAGATCCGTTTTTACGTGGCCGGCCAGTACAAGTGAGTGAATGTGCAAATACTGCTATTTATATGTTTTTATACGAAGCAAATGAGAAGACATATGTGTAAGGCCATGCGTAAATATTTTTTTTACAAATCTTCGATCTACGACTTATATGAAAATATAACAGGCCCGTAGCCAGGGGGGGTTCGGGGGGTTTGAACAACCCCCCCCGCGAGCCCCCCCAAGCAATGTTTTTCTTTTTATTTGCAAGAATTTCACCTGCAGTCGTCGCTCCATTTTAGTGTAATAAGTGGCAAAATCTCATCTTGGCGGGAGGGTGAACAGTGAACACCCTCCCACACCCTCCCCCCCCTCGCGTTGGCCTCCCTCGCCTGGTCGCTGCGCCCGCCCGGCAGTGGCGTGTAACAGGGGGGTCCAGGCGAGTCCGCGACCCCCCCCCCTTGCTCGCGCAGAAAACGCATCTGAGGGAATGTAATTTTAAAAAATTTCTGGGGGATGGCCATTATATCTAACTTCTTTTTCGCAGAGAAGCGGTAGCTAACGTACGTGACGGGCGTTTCCATCAGATCTGCATGATTTGGCGGAAACAGCTCGGCAACTGGGCGATCTATATCGATGCATCCCGCGCATCAGCTGGCATCGGGTTAAGCTCCGGCGTAACAATAAAGGTAGGTGACGACGGAAAGGTAACCTGGTATACTTGTGCTAACCAATGCGCTTACGATAATTATACGCAGTCTTCGTTCCCGGAAATTCCGAACTATCCAACGTGATTACACAGATCATGTTCTTGGAAATTCCGAATTACCCATCGTCGTTTTCATTGCATCCCGGCTCTGTTCATATATTATATGCCAGTTTCTCTCGCGGAATTGGAGTTTACCTCGTAAAACATATCTTAATCGCATCTTAAAAGATTACTCTCGATCAAACTGTAATCGTATGTATATTGTATACACACACACACACACACACACACACACACACACACACACACACACACACACACCACGTACACACAAACACACACACACACAACACACAACACACACACACACACACACACACACACACACACACACACACATATATATATATATATATGTTTTCATTGCATCCCGGCTCTGTTCTCAGAAACTTCATAATATGATGTTCATATAATTATTATATGCCAGTTCTCTCGCGAATTGGAGTTTACCTCGTAAAACATATCTTAATCGCGCGCCATCGTAAAGATCATTCTCGATTCAAACTGCAAATCGTAGTATATTGTAACACACACACACAACACACACACACACACACATCACCACACACACACACACACACACACCACACACACAGTACACACAGCACACACACACACACACACACACACACACACACCACATACACACACACACCACATACACACACACACCGCGCACACACACACACACACACACACTACACACACATACAACACACACACACACACACACACACACACACACACACACACACACACACACACACACACACATATATATATAACAGTAATTATTATATATATAATAATAGTAATTATATATAACAGAAAAACAAAATGATATAAAGAAACATAATCAATTGCTCGTATTCGTCCATCAAGACATAATAGAAGAAAGAAAAACTTTCCCAACAACCGAAAATCGTGTTTATAGGACGACGGTGTGCTAGTCATCGGACAGGAGCAGGACGAGTTGGCAGGCGACTTCGACTACAACCAAGCATACATCGGCGAACTGAGCGACCTTAACGTCTTCAACCGGAGCCTCACCGACAACGAGGTCAACGTCATGTCGCGAACGTGCTACTACGATGGCGGCAACGTTCTGAGATGGTATGACGTCAGGGGTGGTCTCCGTGGCAACCCCAAGTTCTACTCGCCGACCGCCTGCCAAGGGTTTGACGGAGAGATGATTAATCGCAATGCAGCGCCAGTGCGCACGAAATCCTTCCTAGCCAGCGACCATTACAACCGCAACGGCGGTGCTATTTAACGCACACAACTACCGCCAATGTTGAAATATCGAACGAGCGAGAGAGTCGCTATTACATGTAATGGCAAGGTTGGTAAACCGACTAGAGTGCTCAGAAATGACGTTTCCATAAAAAGTGGCAATTCAAATATGTTGTGTATGAAATATTATATTATATTATAGCATATTATAGGAATAATATATATATATATATATATATTATATATATATATATATATATATATATTTACATTACATATATATATATATATATATGTGTGTGTATATGATATAAGTAAAACGCACGGACACAAATGAAGATAATATAGCTGAATGAAAGTATTTAAATATAAAAATCGAATGAGGTGTTGGAGGGTGGAGGAATGAGATTTTTTTATATTTACCACATACTACAGTGAGCCAATTATGAGGTTATGGTGTAATAATTTAATTTATGTATATTATTTTTGATGATTAAAATTAGTGTAGGTATACAATTGAGTCGAGCTCATGTCTTTCCTAGCGATCTCTCCTCACTTCAGAGAATAACATAGCATATAAATCAGAAGTAGATAATAGGAAATAATAGATGATATATATTGTGTAGTTGAACTCGTAGAATATCTATTAAAATAATAAAGCTTATGCACTATGTAATTGTAAGATAGTTACTATCACAAGAAAACAATTATAATTTAGGTTGCATTCTAGTTCACATCGATATACAACAATCAAAATTACCAGGTTATATTGATGTCTAATAATCCTCTATTATTATTATTTTTTAAATAATAAATGAGCTATTTGTAGTACATATCAATGAAAATATGTTCGATTTATAAGTTATAGTTGCTGAAATTATGAACTGTAATGACAACGTCTATTAACATAATACAAAAATAACACAACGCAAAAAAATAAGACAAGGCCGCTAATGTGCTAAGCGGTAAATGCTCGTTCGACAGAATCTCACACTCCGACGAACTTACTAAAAAATGTCAAGAAAAATTGCTTAGCTTCCTCATTGCCCTTAATCATCGTGCTCCACAGGTGAAACGTGTACGCCCCGCGTACGGCCTGTCGCAGGGACTGCTCGCTGAGCGTTGACATGTCGAACATGTAGTCTATAGGGTAAAACAGCGAAGCTCCGTAGACGAATATCGCTGATTGTGGAGCATCCGCAATCCGCCGCGCGCTCGTAGGGTCGTCTAAGCGTATCGCATTGTTCGGCTTCTGTTTCCACCACGCTGTGACGCAGTCTGTTAGTAATCGAGGTCCCAGAGCATTGCTGAGCCTTGCGTTGTAGTAGCCTGGTATCTGCCCGATCACGAAACGGATGAACGGGTGACCTTTATCGAAGATCATTAAGGCGTTGTTGACGAAATCTTCGTCTTGGAACCCTAAACTATTGCTGAATCCCGCTAGATGGCGCAGGATGATTATGTCCGTGTCTAAATAAATGCCACCGAATTTGTAAACAAGAACGAGCCGAGCGGAATCTGCAATATGATATTTTCTTGTTTTTCGTGAAGATTTCGTGAAAAGTTCCTGGAAAATAATAATGAATTGTGTCGGTTGAACAACTGCAATGCCAGAATAGGTCAGGCAGCAACGCGCTACGCATATTCACACACACGCACTCACGCGCGTATCAAATCTCCTTGCAAGCACGCACGCACACATACGCACTCACTCGCACTCACTCACACGCACGCACGCACGCACACACGCGCGCACGCACGCGCACGCGTGCACACGCATTAACATAGATATGTGATACGTGTATACATACTTCTGGTATACATGTATATATGTCTCAGTGCGCACGCGTGTGACTTTTTTTCGTAGGTTATATATCTTACTGTAGAGATCGGCAGACCCGCGAACAACTCTGTCAAGTCGAGGGCTTTGTATTGAACGTTGCACTCGAACCTCGGCGGTTCGTTGCGAAATTTGTCGGCGTCTAGTATCCAGAAATGTACATCGGCGTCTGGATGGAACCTGCAGACGCTTCTCACAGCCAGTGCTGCAACTTCCGGCAGTACATCCGCGTTCGTGGTCCACACGAGATGAAACAACAGACGCTGCCTGCTCTCCCCATCGCTTGCGTTTCTGATCGCGTCCGCACTGACGTGGCCTGTCCCTATGTTGTGAGCAGCAAAGCCTTCGCCGATTTCCCTCTTCCTGGCATATGCGACCAACGTAATTCGTACGAATATGGACACGATTAAAAGGGTAGTGCACACGGAAAAAACTTTCACCCAGTTAGTTCTCCATCGTAACGGATAGACAGCCATACTCGTTATAAGTCCAGCCTATATCTGGCTGCAAACCAAGCGCGCGAAGCGTGTCTGGACGAGCATGTTGTGTGTAGCGAACCATGCAAGCTATTCAGTCACCGGCAATCGCGGGAAACTTGTTCTGTGACCGCGTGCGGTAAAATGTGAGGGTCATCGCACTTCGGGTAAACATTTGAGAAAATCCTCATCTTCACGAGGACTCCCTAGTAACAGTTACGCAAATTAAATTTATGTGTAGCGACCAATTGGATACTGTGTCATATATATTTCTAAGCAGCTCTATCACCCGCCTCCCATTTACACGCGCGCCCAGACATACACGCGCAAACGCAAATGTGATCCGTACAGTTGGCGTAGAGTTATCTCTATAGCTCGCTACAGAGTAGATCAATTTTTCTTTTTCATTAGTCTTCCTAATGAAAAACTAGCTGTCAACGTTTTTAAAAATTGTGAAGAGGCGATCGATATATTCTTCTAATATTGGAAACCTTTCTACTAATCACTGATCATTGTTGTCGATCGTGACTATACATACAGGGGGCCTATATGTGCAACTTTATAAGAAAGATAAGGTATCTAAACAGGTAGCACATCTTTTAACAATATATCAAACGTGTTTATAACTTGTTATATACTTTATTGTTGCCTTAAGCGCATACATCGGCATCTGTTCTGTAAACCAGCTGGGGAAAACATATACTCGATCTCTCTTCCCAGATGACTTAAAATTAGTTGTGGGCTTCTGCGCCCATTTCTTTACTACTTTACGTGTTAATATCAGTAGTGGAATTAGCGCAGTAATACAGTCCTTCTTTGCCACTCTTCTCCCTTTTCATCTACTGTTCTCTTCATACCTTGTCGCATTTCCTTACTTCATTATATCCTTCTAGTCTCCTTTCGCTGTTTGTCATTTATTCTTGTTCTCTACAACGGCTGATTGAGTAATATAATGGTTATTTGCGATGGGCGTTATTTTACAGTACTTACTAACGTTACTTAATTGTCCCTCACATTGCCATTTGCTTATTCCCCTCTACTACCTCTCTCTCTCGCGCGCTCTCTCTCGCTCTCTTGCTCTCTCTCGCTCCCTCCCTCTTTCTCTCCCTCACTCTCTGTCTGTCTGTCCTTCGCTCTTTCTCTCTCCCCCTCTCTCTCGCGCGCGCTCTCTCTCTCTCTCTCTCTCTCTCTCTCTCTCTCTCTCTCTCTCTCTCTCTCTCTCTCTTTATAACACTTTCATTCATTCTTACTAAATAAATATAAATAAATACTACGTTTCACTCCCTATGCTATGTTTACGTTATCGCCTTTCACGTCATTTTGTATTTCCAACTCGCAAATATTCCGTGTATTAACGCTCACTCACAGTCACATGTTCTCCCATAATCTTGCATTTTCTTATTACGTGTCAACTGTGATGCTAATAATAAGCATGCCAAACGGGCTATAAGTAGCTGCAAACTAGTCGTAATTTTCAGCTGCTGCCCGAAAGTTAGCATTTCGCGCCGAGGTGTGGCGCATTGATCGCCGAGGGCAAAGCATTTGAAATTACGTCATCGTAAACCCGTATGTTAGCATGGCGGCATCGCAATTGGTAGCGCGACAGCTCCATTCAAGTCAACATTTTGTGGTTTATTAACAATTCTGTATAGCGAAATGCTGTGAAACGTTGTAAACAGATCCAGTTGCGTCCGGCGGAATACGGAAGTCTATATAAAGATAATCAGCATTAACTTGAGTTATGTCTAGCAAAGTGAAAGTAGCCGTTCGAGTACGGCCCTTCAGCCGCAGAGGTGAGTCTGTTTTGATTTTACTTCTACAACTTACAAGTTATGCGTTTGGTGTCAGTCGATAAGAATAGTATGATAACAACAATGAAATCTCCTAAAAATATCCTAGGAATCGAGATAGCGATTCCGGCACGTGACTTCAAAATGAGGAACATATGGAACGTCATAGTTGCTCTAAACTTTACGTAAACCAACAACAACGTACGTAGGTTACTAGGTAGGCCTACCGTACACTTTCCGCCGTGACATTCGCAATCCAGTTATTCCTTTCTAGCCAGTAGCGAAATGGAAACTTCTGCAACTACAATCCGCAGGTTTAATTAACGATGTTATCGCCCTTGGTCCTTTATTCTTCGGTATATGTTGGCTGAAGAATAGTTTTTGATGGTAGCAATGTACGGTTATATTACCAGCTAATAATAGTAATAACATCTTGATGAGTCATTCGAAAGGCATTTGTGTATTATTTTCACTGCTGGTACATAACATTTAAGGTTGTGTAACTATTTTGTAGGTTGATATCAATACAGCAAGAGAATATACAGCTAGCACATTAACTAGTGACTTATGTTATGTTATGATCTCGTACTTGTCTGTGTCCACTGCACTGGATAGTGACAAGGTAGTGAGGTACGAAGAGTCGTTGTCGTATAATGGCGTATAATATGTACCTGAGGTAACTAGGGGCCTAACTATCTGATATGGTTAGGGTTAGGTAGTAGGCGTAGGCGACATACTCGCCGACACCTCGTGTACTACATATATATGACAACGACCCCTTCAGCGGTAGTGAGTGCTGCCTTCAGGGATGAACCCAATGTGGGTAAAAAAGTGGGTTCGTGTGCATGTGGGAGTGAAGCCTTGACTTGAAAGTGTCAACGTCAGTTGCTTCCACAACACCCACGACTAGGTTGTTCCAGATTGGAATCATCCGGGGGAAAAAAGAGAATTTAAATGCGTTGTTGTTGCAGTGCAAGTGCCGAAATTTGTCGGGTTTTTCGATCTGGTACTTGACACCCCAGGGTTCAGATATCTGTTCACCGGTAGTGCTATGAGATGGTATACAACGTTATACATCACGTTATATGCATAGTTACTTTTCAGTAACTAATAAATTATAAAAAAATTGGTGACACTGATAGATATATTTATTATGCTAGTTGTTCAGCTGGCAATCCATCTCCAGATATCTTTGTGAGGAATCTTGCAATTAATGAAACGGATACATAGTAGACTTGCACTTCGCTGTCACAATTAATAATAAGGTAATATGACCTCAATCAATAAACAGTGGTCTGATACATGTAAGTGCATGTGTACAACAGGCGTAATTGTATGATAAGTAATTAAATATAGCCAACTAAGTTATAAGGCTATTAACACTAGATCATGTAAAATGTATAAATTTATCCTAAGTGCATGCTATGCAAGAAGGTCCATGTATATATAGCTTTGTTACCATTAATATTCTGTGCTATTAACTTGTGGTTTTCACCAATCAGCAGTAAGCCTGCGTGATTGTGTAACAATTATGACTAAGATAATAGTCACCACTCACCAGGGCTCGCATTCATTTTCTGCTATTTCTTTAAGAAATATTTATGCTCTGGGCACTGCTCATTTTCAGAGTATGAGCTTGGAACAAAGTGTGTTGTGGATATGGTAGCAGATGGTGGAACGCAGCAAGTTGTTCTGTATCATCCTTCCTCATCCTCTGCTAAAGCTGGAGACAGGTTAGTGGACTTCGCACATAACATAATATATATTTAAAAATAATGTAACCTCAGTATTTATGAATTAGTTACAATTTTTCAGGGTAATAGTTGCAAGTTTTGGTCCTTATGCTCCAGATAATTCACTATAGTATGTGGCTGTTTTATTTCAAAGATAAACGTGTGTTCTAAACATGTATAAGACTTGTGATACTTAAGCTAAATTTCAAGCAGCCCTGTCAGGTATGTGTACACTATGAGAAAGTGCCAATGTAGCCTGATAGACCATCACTTTTGTCTACCCAGAATATCTTATTCCTAGCTGTAGTAAACCTTGACACTCTGACTGAATAAATGACAAATTGTGTCCAAATATGTGAGTAATATCTTTTACTTTGATGAATTTAGTGTGTTATAATTGAAGTCTAGAGAGTGATATTAATGGATTCAATTCACTTTCAAGTTTTGTCACTGTATCGTGCGTGAAATTCACGGGAGTCCGGAGTCAAATACTCCCAGATTTACTGTCGGACTCCCTGATTTGATGTATGCAGGAATCTGTGTGACTCCCTGAAATTTCTGCCATACTACCTAGTTCATTCCAGAGCACGGCCTCGTGGAAATACCGTATTTTTTCAGCTAATATCCAAAGAAAATTTGACAGACGTGCAACCGCATGAATCTTAAAAATAAGCATATATATGCGTTATTGTTAAAATATCTTTAATTTTGAACCTCAGACTGCGGACTCCCTCTTTTTGAGGGTGGGGATCGAGTCTGTTGCATTCCCGTGTTCAAATATTAATTTCTACCCCTGTTACATAATATTTCTTCTATTCCCTGTTATTTAATAATTCTTCAAGATTGACTAAAGGAACATGCAGTGAAGATCTTTGCACGTTAAAAACAGAATAGTGATTTTGGTATTGCACTCACTCTTGCGCATGTGTGAAGTGGCACTATGTATCACTATCATATGCACATGCACTGCACATGCACTGCACATGCCGTGTTTTCTTTAAATATGCAGCGCAGCACTGAGTCTGATGCAATAAAATTAGACAACTCGAGCATCTTTATTTGTGGTCCATTCTCATGGCTGTGCCCTGTAGTGCCTTCATGTGGAGATTTCATTAAAACGTTTGGATCAGAGAAGCTGCTATTGATTTTATCAGGAGCTCATAATAGAGATTATTATCTCTTATTATCTCTATTATAAGCTCTTGATTTTATCTATGATTATATTATTTTCCATCTGTAGTCTACATGCATGTGGTCATAAACCCTTGTTTTCACCTGTCAAGTGAATCCCTTGATTGGTTAAACACATACACACAAGCATTTAATTAGATCTGTTCACACTAGAATAAAAGGTGAAAATTAAACTGCTCAAAGGTCATCATTATACACCATACGTAACAGTGGTATGCGGAATTTTCAGCAGAGGTTATTCTACATAATCGGATTATTTGCTAGACCGAGTATTAATGTGTAATTAAAGATGTGTGTGTTGATTCTTAGAAACAGTTACTGTTAATTACACAGGATTACTAACGAATACTTTCTATAATACATGGTGGTTCTCCATCACCAGGCATTGTTTTCAATCATCATTTATTCTTCTTGATCACCAGTTATTACTATTAGTCACTGGTTATTGCTCTTTTAAATTACCATTTATTGTTCTTTACACGAATTACCATCTTTTGCATGGTAGAATATATGTGCAAACTAGCACGTACAGGTTTTAGCAGCAAATCACATTTTTAGATATAATTAATATAAAATGCATCACATAATATGGGATAATAACTCGGACCAATATTGTTGAATTTTTCCGTTTTATTTTTGCAGTCATTATCGTGTTGACATAACTGGCTTTCAAATGAATTAGCTTATTATTGTGTTGCAAACATTTATCTGTACGTTTATTGGTTATGGTAGCGTCTTCTCACGAAAGCTATAAAGCTTATTCCAGAGGATTAAAATCCAGCTCAGCTGATGTACTGTAAAATTTGGAAAGGGATTTTTTCCGTTTGTTTTGATCCCCCAGCAAATGCGAAATATTATAGAGCTACAAAATTGTGAGTTGCTTAGGCCTAGCGCAGACTTGCGACTTTTTCATGTAACTCGGCAGCGATTCTAGAATCGCAGTCGAAATTGCTGTGAAATCGCTACGTTTGCGGGAACGTGTAACCGCATGCAACCCGTAGCGATTCTGGTCGCTTGCAACGAGTTCCAAGAAATCAAACTGATTTGATTTTCAGCAACTCGCCGCTCGCAATCGCTACGAAATTCGAAATCGCATGTCTGCGGGTAGACAGCGACTTGCAACGAAAATTCTCGTCTGACCAATCAGCGAGCACCATCTCATCACGTGAAAATGTGTGTTTTTATGTACATGTATGTCTCTATTTGTCGGAGCTGCAACACTGAAATAATCATACCTTAAATATATAAAGGCCTGCGTATGAAGAGTTATATATATATAGAATATATAACTCATAATTTAGTTATGATTTATAATACTATATAATTATTTCTTATTTATCATAATATCATATAGCTTATAGGCATACTAATATATTGTCTCATTGGGTCAATTTTCTACCACATGATTGAATGTTTTTGGGTGAGTTATGGCAAATCGATTTTTTAATAGTGGAATGGCCCTATACAATATGAGACTCCATCTAGTGTTAGTGGCATGTAAACTAAAACATTGTCATTGAACAAAACAAGTCATGGAAAGACAACAGCTGTCGCTTGCGTTGAGGCGTGCGACCGATCGCTTGCGGTTGCAGGTTGCAGCAACGAGCAACCAAAAATTGCAGGTCTGCGCTAGGCTTCATGAATATTCGCGAGGGGTTTAGGACGTTTGCGGTGTTTGGCGGTTTCTAATAACAGGATGTGCTCAAGACACATCTTGATTGAAACTTCTTGGCGTTCTGCGCGCTAGACCTTGATGTACATGCACAGGTTTAGTCGGTCGGTCGATCACAGCTAGCCTGTCTGCCATGCTCCCAACTGCAAATTTTACCCGTGCATACGATGGTTCCTGAAATGAAGATACCGGTTGAATTGATTAGAAATGTATCATTGTTGTTTCTGAGTACAATTAATGCCGAGGCCCGTGTTTTGGGTCTTTGTTGCTGCCCTACGGATGCTGCAACACTCCATCTCTTAATGTGAATGTCATGTCAGCTGCGGATTTCCAGCGCAGTACTCTCTCTCTCCTGCTGTGAGACTCGCCCGCCTTTCACTTCGCCTTTCACTTCGCTCTTTCGCATGAGACTTGTCTCATCACATCACTTCAGGCGCTGAGATGCATATTATAGTTTATCTTCCGTTTTGCACGTTTCCATCAGTGTCAGCGCTAAATTTAGTTTGTCCACAGCGAAATCTCACAGTAAATTTCCTATGAAACTACAGCGTTTGCAAAGTGACCAACACGAGTCTCAGTGCAGTGGTATCACGGAAGATTATTAGTTTTGGCTGCAATATCAGTAGAGTACCGATTCTACATGAGTCATACGAACATTGTATATTATCAGAAGTAGATGGGTTAGGGGTGGATGTGAGCTTTCTCCGTGGGCTCAACATCTTGTCCACTGAAATTTTACTGACACGAGCAATTACCATTGAAATAAAGGGAAAACGCCTTCAATAAGAGTACGAGGCATTTTTAAAAGTATGTGTACTTATGTAGATTGAAGGAAGAGTGCTGTGAGTACCCCTTCTTACACACGTACAATATCATCACCAGCCTCATGCGTAGGAAATAAATTAGGGGCGGCAGGGGCGTGTACAGGATTTGTAGCAGGGGGTCTAACCGTAACCCAAACTTGCGAGCACGCGAAGGGGGGGGCTGGGGGGCCCTCCCCCACAAAATTGTTGAAATTAGCGAAACCCCCTCAGATGCGTTTTCTGCGCGAGCAGGGGGGGGGGGTCCGGACCCCATGGACCCCCCTGTACACGCCCCTGGGCGGAGCTTTCTAGATATTAGGTGCCGATTATTTCTTTTCTGTCAGAGTGACGGTTGTTTCGTCTTCCCCGAACCCACGACTGTGCATCTGTGCATGCTCGTGCACCATGACAAGCTTCAGATGCCACGTGTGTTTCACGTCACACGAGAGACGTGTTTCTCACGCAAAGACGAGCCGAGCACTTCTCGCAGGAGCAGTAGCGCGACGGTCATGCAGGTTGCCTGTTGAGATTTCGCTTGATGAGCAAAATCAATCCCGAAGAGGTTTTTCACTGTGGGATCTGCATCTGGCTAGAATAAGATTTTCGATGGGAATTACGTACAGCAAGAAAGAATTAGGGAGGCCTTTGTATGGTCGTCTTTGTCAGTGAGCTGTCAGTAATCGAAAACTACTACAAATAGCATTGATTCTCTGCCATCGGTACTTCTCCAAGGCAGATGTGTCGATGTCTAAACGCTGTATTCACGGCGGCAGCAGAGTACAAACTGCGGCATCACGAATGTCTGCCGGTGCCAAAAACCCATCCGTCCTCGTCCCGAGGCTAAATGCTTGCACTGCTACTTTGCTCGCTGCTTATTTCCTCGCTGCAGCAGAATTTCGGCAGCGTTTGTGCAAATTTAGTGAGCTCACACGAGACTAATCCTGCATGCGGCTTGTCTGGTTGCATGCGAACAGTCACGAAGTATCCATAGATCAAAGTCCTTTGAGTGATTCGGGTGAATCTGGTTATCCCCAGATGCAGAGCCAATGCAGATAGAATCCTTTTAACATTTATGATAAAGGATGCCTCAGTGAGAGGGAGGTGCTATAATGCGATTTGAGAAATCGTAGCTTTGTGATTGCATGAGATCGCATTGTGCTCGTACCCCTGTGACCTTAACTACCAGATATTCGTTAGCAGCCTGTGCGTTAACTTTGAGAAAAGAAGCAATGGAGGTGTCGGAGTCCGCAAGCGTTGCCTTACAAGAGTAGCATTGAATCAAGAGCGTATAAAGAAAGCCTTCTTTATACGCTCTTGATTGAATACACATCTGC